TCATAACCATATAGCCATGATTCGTCACCAGTTATGACCCTTTTGAGTAAATCTGGATCGTCGTTGACGTCATTCAACAGTTCTTGAGCGATGCTCATGCGACGGTTCTTTTGGTCAAAATTTAGCAATTTCGGAACAAACTTCGCTGACACACGTCTCATGCCCAAAACATTAGAAAAAATTTCATGGCACGAGCTAAGCGACATACCAACATCCTCAGCAACTTCTCTGATAGTGATTCGACGATTTTCCAGAACAATTTTCTTCACTGCTTGAACGTTTTCATCAGTTGTTGACGTGCTTGGGCGTCCAGACCGAGGCTCGTCATTGGCATCTTCCCGGCCATCTTGGAAGAGTTTGTACCACTTGTAAACATTTTTTTTACTCAGAACAGTTTCACCGTATGCCACCGTCAACATTTCAAGTGTTTCGGAGCACTTTATTTTATTTTTTACACAAAATTTGATGCAAATCCTTTGATCCATATTTTTCGATAGCAAGAAATCGCTGAGCACGCAAAACATTTATAACCTTTACGCCTCTCACAACCAAACAAAAAATGCTATACACTTGAAACTTGGTACAGATGTTCGGGAAGAGTGTACCAACATAACAAAACAAAAAAATCGATAATCGAAAGTACGTTGCCCGTGAAATTTGAAAAGTCACCTTACTTTTTGAACACACCTCGTATGCTATGAATGGCATAGTTAGTTTGATGCTATAGGTCATGGATTTTGTTAGAGATTCGGCATATACAGATGAGCCTATCTAGCCTGTAATTGTTTATTGTTGTTTTACACTAACAATTTGAAATCTGACCAGATAACGTTATATACATTTATCTCATATTTTTTCCGGTAGAATCAATTACCACAATCAATTTTTAAAAATATTAACTTTTTGGGTAATTTTGTTTAAATAATTTTTTATAGACAATTGCAAATATAAAAAAAAATTACGGGTACCTTTCTTTTCCACTTATACTATGACTGTTATAGTTAGTTTAGCGCTGTCTTATGTTGTTTTGGCATGGGCCTTAATGGGTTCGGGTTAATTCCATAACGAATCATAAGGAGCGCTGTCGATTGATGTTACTGGGTGAACAACGGAATTGCGTAATATGATACGTGACGCGGACTACGAATCTTCGTTAGATCACCTGGGCATCGAAAAAATAAGTATGACCGATTGATTGAGAATCCGTGGACAGGGATAGTGGTGAGCGTTGTAAAATTGACATGTCACGAAAACAATTTTATTACCTCATTATTTTTCAATATTCTTTAATAAAATGAGTGGAATATGAACCACTTGCAACAGTCGATTGCAAGACACTGGCCTAAATACTTGAAAAGCATATTCTTTCCCTGCAGAAAATTTAGAAGTTTTTGGTGACTAACAACTGAAATAATTATACAGGTAAGATATACGTAAAATTGCTGAAAGCTTAATAGAGACCACATTTTTACGCCACCGTACTAACTACAGTTTGATTTTAATGAGTACGCGATCTACCCGAGTATAATCATCAACTTTGTGGATAATGAGTATTGTGATTGAGATCGGCATCTTCGCGAATTTCATCACAATTTTTCAACAAGGACGAAAATGTCGCTGCTGTTCTTAATCTTTAAGAGAAACTACCAATAGGTTAAGATGTTGCGACGAAAGGTGGAAAAGCACGAACTGATGCTAAAAATATTACCAATGCATAAAAATACAGATTGCAAAGCCTGAACGTGTTATACGATCTATTAGTGCAATATATACAGAGGGCACGCGATTGACGATAGAGATATTACGACTATTGAGATTTTCAATTTAAAGTGGATGATATGGCATTGCAATGAGTACGTTCATTGCCGAATCTGGCAGAGTGATAAGTAGTTGTATTTTTTTATGTTCAAGACGCTTACTTCAATCATTAATATTATTATAATTATTAACATTATAAGTCAATAAATAACACATTAAAGTAAGTGAATCTTTCAGAGACAAATTAACGAGACGCGTAATATTAATTTTAACGACAATAATAGAAATACATTCCAATATTATCTTCCCAAATCAATAATTTATCATCTACATAGTCATAATAGACTAATGGCTGCTGATCTTATCAACAATATTTGTATTGGCGTGTAAATATATATTTTTAACTTTTTCTACCCACCAAATCTAGATTCCCTATGACACACTTGCTTAATTAATAACAAATATAAGTAATTTCAATGAATAATAAATAACAAATTAGTATAATTCTGACTTCATACTCTATTTCAATGATATTCCACCTGTAAAATAAGATTTTTCTAGTATTTCCTCGATCCAATAATTTAAAAAAAATTGTAAACGACTTAAGTGAACAATTGATGAAAATTATGTGGACTTCAGATACCGATAAGATTCTGTTTTGTTGGCCGATATATTTTTCCAAGCTTTATCCGAAATAAGCCTATTTTTCGATTTTTTCAAAGTTTTGCAATTATCATTTCTTCAATTGCAAGTATCTACTAAACTTTCGTGAACATTGATTTGCTTATTCTAAAGAAAACTTGAGTTTAAAAATAGCAGTGACTGGTATAATGTGTACTTTTGATAAGGTTTATATTGATCACGTTGCAATGATCGATCGGATTGGGGATAGTAAGGACATCATTGTCCTCTGAAAACATTTATTCTAGATAGGCTGTGTCGGGCGTTCTCGCCTCCCACCACAATTCTATGTTGGATACCCCTTGCCACAATGACAACACTGCCGACAGAATATTTGAACTTATAAATATTAAAAGTAGCGCATTGTTCCATCTGCGGTTCTAGGTTGGATGAATAGACAGACCGAAGGAAGGGAGAGAGAGAGAGAGAGAGTGGACAGGGACTACCAGGAGAGCGTGAGAAGTAGCTAAGTGATCTGTGAAGCGCAAAGGTTTTCACACCTAGAGACAAAGGAAAAGAGTTAGATAAAAGCGGCACAAGCGAGAAATGACGTAAGGGGTCATTCCAGATGAACACGTATCAGAGGAAGGACGTGCCGATACTGAAGCCTAGAAGAGAATCCAGCGACTTGAAGGGTCGAGAAAATTATTAAACGACAATTCCAGGCCCTCCAGTGAATAGTTTATTGTCCGTCAGCGCTGCTTCCGGCCTTGCATGCTCTCCCCTATGGCGAAATTTCTTTGCTTCTTTCTCTCTCTCTCTCTCTCGCATGTGATGGGGCCGGCTTACGAGCGCAATCCAGAGCTCTTATACGCTCGACTACCACACGCATAAGAGCAAGTCCGAGACAAAGATTGGGGGCAATTCACATGCAATCAAGTGAAAGTGCAAATCGACACCATCGCTCATAATTTCAATGCGTGGAGCTGGTAATCAATACGAGTAACGAAGTTTTATAATACGATTCTCACATGTATGTCAACTGTTTTTAGCAAACTTTCTCTCTTCTTAAAAACAGAACTTTTGTAGCTTCTAAGCCGAATTGGCTTGCTTATTCAGGCTGTGACGTGGACAGTATGTGTGTCACACGATTCACAAACTAATAATTTTTAATAGCAATTGGACAAACCGAATAATTTGTGTAAATGTCATACATGTTTTTCTATGTCTATTTTTATCATGCAATCTTTCTCTCTTTCTCTCTCACTCTTTTAAAGGATTATGTTTTATAGCTACATTGTATGATTTTCAATCTCTCTACGCACTTGTGCATGGAAAATCTTCGACTAAAATGACAGGATTTTACATGCAACCATAAAAGTATAGAAGATACATTATTTTCGCTACGACGTAAGAATAAGTCACCATTTTATTCACCGCAAGCAACAAAAAAGGATTTGATGTGAGAGACACTATGAACGTCAGATCTGCAATGACTCATGAAAAGAAATTATTTAATATCAAAAAATTAATTGTGTAATAATTTTAATTTTTATAAATAAAAACATTGTATTTTAAAATTAATTTTTTTTTTCATTTAATCTTATCCTGTTTTTCTATTTTATTCAAAAAATATAAAAATAATGAAATCTTAACTATCATTCAACTAAATGATATTTCATCATCAAATAACAATAATACTTTTATAAATTATCTGAAAAACGCACGCGACATACGATGATGCATAGGTCCATGTGATTTATCATATTTAACCTCATGTAATATATGCGATCTGATTTCAGTATAAAGAGTAATGGTGAGTTAAATAAATAATTATTTTAAGTCGTTAAAAAATTTTCATCCTTGCTGTGAGAGTAACCGTTGCCTCAATCTACTCCTGTTATGCTTGGTCTGGTGCACACACGTTTGGCGTAACTGCAGACGAGCGCCAAATCACGAAGCAAATGAGAAATGCATAAAAATTAAATTAAGTTTTCCACTGCGAGTGTGGATTTGTAGGATGTTATTCGGGTGAACATAAAACATTACACAAATTAAAATAATATAAACGAGAGAGAGAGAGAGAGAGAGAGAGAGAGAGAGAGAGAGAGAGAGAGAAACAGATAGACAGACAAACAGACAGACAGAAAAACGTGAGCTAATACTGAACGTGACATACGAGTACACAAAACAAAAAAAACACTCGCGATAATAATGAGCGTTCGAAATAATTAATGCCCACCTGGTGACCTGCATCGTTGCTGCAGACAATAATGTGTGTGCATTGCTTCCGCGTACCTCTGTTTTCTGTGTATCACAAATTTTTTACCAATCTCACCCTGTCACATTCGCGCTTGTTGATTTCCATAGCGATCACTCCTTAGTCTATACGCACGCTTTAATGAATATTCATTTATTACATGAGTTATAATGTTTATTGTTTAGCTACACGAAATCCACATATGAATATATCACATCGTAAGAAATAATTTCAACAGTTTTTTAAATCAAAATATTCATTACATTGAATGAAAAGGTTTACTTAATCACCATTTATTCCCTTCTAACAATTATCAAGAAATATGTTCGTAAAAATGAATGTAATATATTTTTTTGTGCAGTTTTCTTCAAGGAAAATGTTTATTAAATGATTGTCTTCTGTCTCATAACGTTGGCCCAGAAAAAATGCCAACATGCAAATACTTCTTAGAAGGATGCTGTATTCGTGATAGATGTCCATATCTCCATGTGAAGGTATCTTCAAAGAGTCCTATATGTGTTGAATTTCTACGAGGGTACTGTCTGCAAGGTCATAATGTAAGATATATAATATTTTATTTAAATTTTGTGTATTAATTATTTTTACTCTTATTGTTAGATGTGTATTTTTACCAATTATTAAAAATGTATATTATGATTATATAAATGTCTCTATGTCTCCATGACTTTCAAAGATTAAATATATTTAAACTCCACAGAATAAAATATTCAAATTACCTTACGAAATTTAAGCTTTTACTTAATTGATAGCTTTTCGTCTACTAAAGTACAGTGTGCAACTATCAAATGAGCTGGATAGTGAAAGTTACAGAAAGTCTGGCGCTAACACTACTGTCATTATTAACATGTTTAGCTATTAAGAAGAATACTAGAAATTCTCTTGGTACTTGACACGTTTATTGATTATAACTATATTCATCTTATTATATACTTTTTCTTTAAAAATATGGAAAGGCAGCTTACTACTATTGATACAAGTGGATTTTTCGTCTGGGTAATTACGCCTTAATTTTGCATAGCATGCGTAATAGAGAGAGAGAGAGAGAGAGAGAGAGAGAGAGAGAGAGAAAGAGAGAGAGAGAGAGGGAGAGAAAGAAAAAAGGGGATGTTTCTACTAGTTATACATTCGACTAGCTCTGTAATGCACCTGATTTAGCTCTGGTTCTTCCTCGATCATGGAGTTTTACATTGTTGCCATTACTAGTCGTAGATAGGATTACGCCCTATGCTGAAAGTTTCACGTGAGCTTTCTTAGTTCTCTCTTTCTCAAACAGAAACACCATGATTTAACCGAACATTGATAAACAGACAACAAAATTAACAAAAATAACGCAGCAAAACTTTATTATAAGCTTTTTCAACTGGAGAAAGAATATTTCGCTACAAATGAATGTAAAACAATTCTTTTGGTGGGAAACTGTTCTTTCTCAAATTAGAAAAATTTTAGATCTTCCAATTACACGAGATACAAAGTCAATTCAATAAAAATTGATTATAAACTTAAAATAGAAACAATCTAGTACGAAAAAAATGTATTTCTATTTTCATCAAGATTGTTTGCAATCTGTTTAATACATTGAGACAATAAGTAAATGTTATTGCTCTATGAAATATCTACATAAGATTCAGGAGAATATACTATGAGTATTATGTTTTTGTTCTAGAATGTGATAAAAAGATTTTGATTAATTTATGCATTCTTTATGTCTTTTGAGTCTGATTGTTTGTGAAGGTTGTCTAACGAAGATTGCTGATAAGTTAATTTGGATGGTTTTGAAGTCTGCTTTTATATTTTGTGTAAAACTTTTTAATTTCTTTTTCAACTGTTGGAAGTTGTAGATCATTTTGGATAATTTCATTAACGAACAACGAGACCCATACGATATTACGTATGATATTTTGATTGAAATCTTTTTAGGATAACAATATTCGAGTTTAAAGCAACGTCCCATAGTTGAATGCCATAAGTGTAAACTGGTATGAGTATAGATTTGTAAAGTAGTAATTTGTTCTTATTGGACAGCTCCGATTTTCCTCCAATAAGATAGTATATTTTTTCTCATCTCAGTAATAACTGTACATTTGGTAATTTTTTTATTCAAAATGTTATCTTATTAAAAACAATAAAAAAACCTCCATTTGACGTTTGATTTCTAACATTATTTTTAAGCAAATTCGGCCCTACGACCGTGCCTACACAAAGACTAAGGGTCAGTTCTGCTAATTTTGCCTAATAGTAGGGGTTCTTAAAAACCCATTGTATCAGCCGTTTCAGTGAAGCCATTAACCCATTTCTTCCCAAGGCGCCATTTTATAGTCGATTTGTTTTTGACCGAGGAAAACCTCAAAATAATCGAAAATGTATACTAGAAGTCACTTTTCTATTGTAAAATTTCCCGCTCTTTACGAATCTGCAGTCAGAATTAGGATATTCTTCACGGAAAATTACAAAATGGCGTCTTGAATGTTGATGAAAATTTAGTATTACATTAGAATTTTTCTTTCAGAAATTAGTTGCTGAAATTTATAGAATCAGGATGAAAATGTAGATTTACATTGAAAATGTTAGTTCTTTGATAAACCTAGGCATTACGAATTTTCCTGGAACATTTTTCCAAGATGGCGGCCAGCAACATGTTGACAAGCGGGGAAATCTAAAATTTTCATATAAAAGCCGATTTAGAGAATGAATATATACTACCTATACTTTCGATGTCGCTGAATACAATGCTAGTGTCAATTTCAATTTTACAAAATGGCGGATCCAATATGGCGTCGGTAATACCAAAATCAGTTTGTGTTGATAAAATCGCAAATCTAAGTGCTACACTTTGTCTTGAATTTTTAGCACTTTTTCTAGTATTTTCTAAAATAATTGATGCAATAGTGGAAGAAATTATTCATCAAGCGTACCTGTTTTTTCAAGATGGTAAGAGTCAAAACAATTTGCATATAGATACTCTTGACATTGTTCGCAATAAATATTCGTACGTTTCTTGCAGTCATTGCTAGCTTTGCATATTCTTTGTGAAGATTTTGTGGATTTATTGTGGATATGATGATACTCTCTGAAACGAGTATCACAGAAATAAGTTTTGCACTCATAGCAATAAAATATTGTTCTTATGGTACACTTTATACACATTCGTCTACGATCAGGTATTGTGAGTTTCAAATGCTTTGATAACTTTTCAATCGGTTGCTCTAAATAAGATTTTGCAACACTTTTTGCGAAATCTTTACTAGACATTCTCTTTTTGTTCACCATATTGTACAAAATCAAAGCATTTGTCAGTGAAGACTCGATCAATCTACATAAAATAACCCATGTCCATTTCTTTGAACCAATATTCGTTTTTAGATCACTGCAGTATTGATCATGAAGATCAACTCCTCCCATAAATTTGTTGTATGTCTTGAATGCTCCAGGAAATTCAATTGGTACTTTACGTTTAGCTGTTTTATCGAATCGTTCCATTGGAATAGTAGGTGTAACGCCAACGGCTGTAGATAATATGGACACTGGTTTCGAGTCCATTACCGTAATGTAATTTATACCACTGGTTTTATCATGACTTACAACATAAGATCCTCTAACAGCTTCCTTTTTATCTAGTTTATGTTTATCTATCAATGTCTTCTGTTCGGAATTTTTGATCAATGTTTTCGAGTTTTTACTTGATTTATCCAACACTTTTGGAAACATCTCCTTTGTAAAAACACGATCATCTCTAACCGTACCTGATGCACGCAGGTTTTGTTTTTTCAAGTGTACCAATAAATCAGGGGGTGTGAAAAATCTATCAAAATATAGATGATATTTAGCTACATCATTCTTATCGACCGATGTTAGAAAAACATGAAGCATATTCATCACTGCCCGAGATCCTAAACTGCATTTAGAGAACTTCGTGTCACTTTGACAATCATTTTTTCCACAATAGATATCTATTTCTAAAACAAATCCATTAGAAGTACAAAGGGCCCATAATTTTATTCCAAAACGTATTGGTTTGTCTTTGATGAATTGTTTTAGAAGCGTGCGACCGAAAAATTTAATCATCATTTCATCTATTGATAAAGAAGAGCAAAAAAATTCAAACTGTTTTACATTTTCTCTGAAAATGTTTAAAATTACACGAACTTTCCAAACTTTGTCATTATCAGTCTTATCCGAATTTTTCGAAGTTTTCAAATTAGACTTAATTTTTTCAAACAAATTTCTATTCATCGTTTCTGAAACAACATCGGAATGCCACATTTCATCAGTCGACCAGTAATCTTTATAGCTTTTACGAATATTGGAAGTGGAAAAAATGATAATACCTAAAAATTTGTTGAAATGATCTGGATCTAATTCAAATCCATTTTCAGTTGTCGCTTCAATAATGTAATCTCTCATTCTATCACAAAAAAACATTTCAAATAATTCTCGAGGTTCCTTTCCTAGTACATTTTGTTTTATTGCTTCAAAATTATATATTTCTGATTCAAGTTGAACATGGTATGGTCTTTGTGGATCTATCCATTCGTATTTATGTGAGGCTTCTAACTTTTTCTCGTTCGCGGAAAAATTTTGATACACTTCTTCATAAGATAAGGCTACTGCATCAGTGAATCTAGAAGTTCCATCAGCTTCTCCGTTATTATCGAGACCTTCTACGTCACTATTATCATCATCGGGTACCCACATAACTTCATGATCATTTTCATCTTCATCACTATGATCATTGTTTTCTACAACACTGCTATCAACACTGGTATTTCTCATCGACTTACGTTTCGGCATGATTTTGCCAGTTTTATGAAACTTCTTTTAGAGTCCGAATCTAATAAATATTTATCTTGAAAAAATACTCGGTGAATAGTAAAGCTCACCAATTATCCTGAAAAGGACTATTGGAGAGACAGCCGAAGAAAAAGAGTGAATATGCTCCAACTATCTTGAAAAAGACCGTTAGAGAAATACGCACTTTTCAATCCTCCACAAGATGGGAAAGTTCGCCAATTATCCTGAAAAGGACTATTGGAGAGGCAGCCGAAGAAAATATGAATATGCTCTAACTATCTTGAAAAAGACCGTTATAAAATACACACTTTACAATACTCGAGAAGACAAAGGATTTATCCAACTGTAGGGACAAAGAATCCAGAAAAAAATATAGTAATTAGATTCGCAATTTTATCAACATTACCTGATTTTGGTACTACCGACGCCATATTAGATCCGCTATTTTGTAAAATTGAAAACGGACATTAGCATTGTATTCAGCGATATCGAAAACAGGAATTGAGTACCCACTCACTGGTGCTCATCATTTTGGTATTAACGACGCCATATTGGATCCGCCATTTTGTAAAATTGAAATTGACACTAGCATTGTATTCAGCGACATCGAAAGTATAGGTAGTATATATTTATTCTCTAAATCGGCTTTTATTTAGAAAATTTTAGATTTCCCCGCTTGTCAACATGTTGCTGGCCGCCATCTTGGAAAAATGTTCCAGGAAAATTCGTAATGCCTAGGTTTATCAAA